GGATTCTACTAATATTGTCTTTGTTTTGAAATGCAGCAAACTTTGATAAAAACAGTAGCAGGATCTTTGTGTGTAAAGAATGCTATATTTTATTGTAAAGCATGCTATATTTTTAAAATAAAAAACTCTTGTTGTGTACTAACAAGGTTATGAAGAAATAAAGAAATTACTACATTTTTTGGAATGAAAAAAACGAATTTTTTTACTCAAGTAATAATAAAAATATTTCCTTATAAGGCCCTCATAAAATATTGCCTTATATGGACCCATTAAACCACTTGTTTAAACATCTTGCAGGAGCCCTTGTCTTTTTATTCCTACTAGAGCCCTATTAACGTTAGGGAAAAATAATCAGGCCCTTACTAGAGCCTTATTAATTGTTCTACTCGGAAAGTGGCGGAATCGGAGGCAAAAGAAATCAACATTTCCGCCCCGTCGACTGTCGGCCGTTTCGCTGTGGGCGTTATTAAAAATTCGACGTTTCGTCGTCGAGACGTTATGCATTCATCGCACGATGGTGGACGCGGAGGCGTACTGCAAACTCGCGCGGGCGCAATATTCCGCGATTTTGATCGCGTGTTTTCGTGCCGGACGATTCGACGAATACACAACCGTCTTAACGCGGCACGGACGAAGCCGGCGAGAGAGAGAGAGAGAGAGAGAGAGAGGGAGGGAGAGGGGGGGGAGAGAGAGAGAATATATGTAGATTTCCCTCGCTCGCCTTCCTCCCCCTTATCCTCCTCGGGGCGCTCGAGACAATCGCCGCCGTTACCTCGCCGTAGCGTCGGCACTGATTTTTGCATCTCGAGTCTCGTCGGCGCTGGCGAACCCATGGTAATTAGGGCGGCAAAATGGCCCTTGCCCTGCACTCGACAGTCACGACAGACTATTGTCGGTAAGTCGCCCGGCGACCGAGCGCCACTTCCGAGCGGGTTTGTTTAAAAACAACGCCGCCCCATGCGGTGTTATCGTAAGTTCTTCGCCCGGAACACGCCGGGTAATCTCCCTATTTATAGAAGAGGGCCAAGTATCCCCCCTCCCGCCGCAGCCCGGTCCGGTTTAAACGCGCTCCGCTGGCTTTCTTGACTTTTCTCGTGCGCGCGCGCGCACACAGAAAAATATAATCCGATTACACGTTTCGATATGTTCCGAGACGGTGCGAAGTAACGTTCGCGCGCGTGCACTTCGCCCGCCTGACTGCATTCTCTATCGGGTTGTATTTTCCCGTCGTTTGCTTCGCAAGTCTCGCTTTATGGTCGGGGGAGACTATTTTTTGTTTTGGAATTCAAAACTCATAATTTTTGCAGACTCCCAGCAGCGGCGTGGCCGAAGCGGCGGGCATTAAGCGAAATTCTATTTTACGCTATATTTAACTCTGAAATATTGAAAAAAGATTTCCGCCCGGCATTACTCCTCGTGGTGGTATCCCTCGCGTGCCATTTGTTGCGAATAAATAACGTATTTCAGATACACGTGAATAAATAAAGCGCTCTGCGCTCCGCGTTTTTAACTACTTTTCGAAGGATTTGTTTTGCTCGGCGGAATCTCTCTCCCTCTCTCTCTCTCCTCCCCTCCCTCCCTCTCGAACCATTGGCTCTCCGGCGCGGACTAATGCGAGATTCGCCGTTATACGACGGCCTCATCTCGCCCACGCGTCCATTTTATTTCGCTCACGTATGCCTATGAAATTATTCACGCTAGCCGGCGACACGTTGTACCTCGCGGTTCTGGAAGAATAAGTGGCGAACATAAAACGCGGCGAGAAGGGAGAGCCGCGTCTCGGCTTAACGCGAGGACGCGTTACCGCGCGCGCGAGAGAGAGAGAGAGAGAGAGAGAGAGAGAGAGAGAGAGAGAGAGAGAGAGAGAGAGAGAGAGAGAAAGAGAGCGCGCGATATTCGCCTCACGTCTATTTTCTTCATCATGTTTTCGGCGAGTCCCGCCGTAAGCACGGCAACGAAAATTTCCAATAAATCCGCCGGAGGTCACGTCGAGACGCCGCGATAACTTACGTGTCGTCGCCGTGCTCGGTTATTATCGCACACCCCGCCGCCTCCTCCTCAGCGACTCGCCATTCCGGCGAGTTCATAAGTCGCCGATGTGACACGGCCGCGGCGCGGCGGCGAAATTCAGCCTACGACTCGCACGCGATCGGCTGCATAGTTTGACTCATTAGCTGCTGATTAATTAGCCTCTAAGGTGTACACCCTCGATGTACTCTCCCTTGGAACGTTACACTCGTAACTGGCGGTTCGGTCGCAAGTATTAGGTGGTAAACTTAATTCCTGCCGCTTTTTCGTCTCTAAAATTGATTTGTTTCGAAGGTAAGATGAATGAACCTTAATCAAAATAATTAACTCCATTTTCTACTACTTTTTCGCACTTCTCCGGCGGCATGGAACGCGCGGTGTCTTTCGAGGCGATCCATTCATTCATCCGTTTCCTCGGACTTCCTCGTAACTGGAGAAGTGTGTGTCCGTAAGTGCGTGTTGCATCGACCGGAAGAGATGGTAATCCGACGGTGCCAAGTCCGGAGAGTACGCTGGATGCGGGAGGACTTCCCATTCAAGCTCTAGAAGTGTCTGCTTCACGCTTTTCGCAACATGCGGTCGAGCGTTATCACGCAAAAGAATGACTTTGCGTCGATTGTTGGCTACGGATGGCCTTTTGCAAGGCATCAACTCACGTCACTCAGTCGGCATAATTGCTGTTGGTAGCGATCAGCTGTAACGGTTTCGTTTGCACGCAAGAGCTCGTAATACAGCACACCCACCAAATGCAGAGCAAGGTCTTGTGCCCGTGAATATTCCTCTTCGGCGTTGAAGTGGATGATTGGTCGGGGTCCACTCATGATTTCCTCCGCTTGGAATTATCCAAATAAATCCACTTTTCATCGTCAGTCACGATACGCCGCAACGAACCTTTTTTCCTTCGCCTGGCAAGCAAAGAAGTCGCGACAGACAAACGATTCAAAGTGGGATTTTCTGACAACTCACTGTGGTAGTCATATCCTTTCCTTATGAACTTTTCCCATGGCGTGCAAGCGTTTTGAAACGGCCATTGGCCAAAGCAACACTCAACACTTTCGACAACTCTAAAAGCATTTGAGCTGGCTTCTCATCGAGCAACTCTTGCGGCTCAACATCTTCAAATTTTTTCGGCTGTCCGGGACGTTCTTTGTCTCTCACGTCAAAATCACCGTTTCCCGAAAGCGTTCAAACCAAATTCTACATGTTCTTTTCGATGGAGTTTCATCACCATACACTTCGGACAATAAGCGATGCGTTTCAGCTGCGATTTTCGTGAAGTAGTCGAAGTAGTGAAGAAGTAGAATGTTGGAAAAACAGCTTATCGCGGCTCATTTCCAGTCGATTGGAAAATCTCTTTGGCGTCGAGAAATCTAACCTGTGAGGACTTCAGTCACTTTCAGCAATGTCTAAACTACAACAAACATGCGACTTTACCGTCGGAACTCGTCAGTGTTGGGAGCCGACACCCTCTAGTAGCGAGCGGCAGGAATGAAGTTTACCACCTAATATAGTCGCACTGCAATCGCGGTAGAATCTCGCTGAAAGAAGCGGTCAATAGCGGCGGACTGTTCCCATTATTGATGCAGTTTGCGAACACAGACAGCGACGGCGACACGCAAGGCGCATGGAAGCCGTTAATTCCGCCGCCGCGAATGCAGAAAGTTGGACCTGGTATAACGGCCGCGCATAACGACTTTGTGTACTGTAGATGTCGAAAGTTCGCCACCACTGGCCGAAATCGGCGCGATATAAGTCGGGACGGCAAAGCGAGAGTGTTTCCAGCGGAAATCGATGAATACTCCGCCGATATTGTGCCGCGTTACGTTAAGTTTTCACAGCGACCTCTTGCACTTTTCCTCGTGATGAAGGATCTCGTTCTTTCGCAAATCGGCTGCGCTGAATACGAATATGACGATCCAAAAAGTGTCCGTCACGTAGGGTCTCCGGGAGACGCCATTTCCATAAACTCGCAACCGCACGGACCGGCTGCACCGGCGACTCTGTCAAGGTCTGAAATTGAAGCACCGACTTATATCTTGATTTTCAGAAGTTGGAAACTTCTGAAGGTGGAATCCGGTGGAAAGCTCACAGGGCGAGGAAGCGCTCTCTCTGTCACAAGTTTATACAACAAAGTGGAAAAATTGTATGTCACACCCAACAAATTTCCGGATAAAATCCTCTCTCAGAGGGGCAGTCTCAGGCTCAGTCTAATAAAAGTTATAGAAAAAAATGCCTCATTCATCCATGTCGTACAAAGCACCCTTGAGACTGCAAGATCCCCGTTTTCTCGAGAGTCCAACTGTCCGGACGGACAGTTTTGGAGGTCACACGTTCGTCACACGTTTCAGCGCACTCGAGATGCTGAAGAACGATCCTCGGTGACAAAAGTGCAAAATCTTGTAACGCGAAGCAGCGTTCCTGTAAGACATCGGCGAAATGGTCCTTTTGATTCCGATTCAGTCCGAAACATTGTGACTGGCTCGCTTTGGGAAAATAGCTCTTTCGTTCTCAAGGATGCGAAAAGTCCGGCTCACGTCGCCGTGCCTCGACTCGATCGCCGTGCCGCGCGTTTGATCGTCCATCGGAAGTTACTCTCGCGTATCTCCGACGCCTGGAAACGCCTGCGAGCCCCTTAACGTCGCGACTAGCAACGCGACGGTGAGAAACGGCCGGGTTGTAGCTGCTCGCGAGCAGCATCACTCGAATTTTTGCACGACGACGAAAGGCATCTTGCCTTTCTCACGGGCGGCCTCGTCGCATGAAACCGAGAGGAGTAAATAAACATTTCTGCGTCCTCGCCCGACACATTTTCGTCGTTGTCGCTGCAAAAAGCCGTCATCTGGGTGGCTCCGCCGCGAGTGAGAAGTAGGTCGCGTTAATCGCCGGTACGGTTGTAGCGTTTCCGAGGAACGCCGAGTTCGTGCCAAGTGACCGTCATTAAGTAATCCGCGTGTTCTATCTCTCGCTTCCAGCTGGGATGCCGACCATGGAATCTCAGTCTGACGAGCGTGATCATCCTGGCGCTGTCGAACATGCTGCTGACGTTCCTGCTGCTGCAGTCGGAGACCTGCGTGCCGGAGCCGATAGCGCGGGAGGTGGTGGAGGTGAGCGCCGTGACCGAATGGAATCTCGGCACCCTCGTCAAGGAGCAACAGCCGGAGTGCATCACGCAGGATTACCAACCGACGTCACCTGACGCGAGCGCTCTCAAGCTGGACATTAAGCTCGGCAGATGGGACGCGCGGCGGATATTCCGCACCTTCGACTCGGTGCTGGTCGGCAACCGATTCGCCGAGCTGTCGCAGACCTACCGGGTCTGCCTGGCCACGCAGAGTTCCGTGGAGAAGCTGCACTCGCTGGTGCAAGTCGCCCTGCACTGGACCGGGCCGATGTCGGTGGCGCTGTACGCCGCCGGTGACGAGGAGTTCGAGGTGCTGCAGCGGTACCTGGTGTACCTGAGGCGATGCTACGACGCCATCAGGGAGAGAGTGGTCTTCTCGCTGGCGGTGCCGAAGACGAGGCCGCCGAAGCAGCAGCCGCGCGTCTTCGAGCTGCCGGAGGTGGTCGACTGCGCCAAGCCGGAGGCCACTCTCAACGAACTGGCCAATCGCATATCCAGCGAGCAGACCAACTGGAGGATACGTAACGTCTACCCGCAGAATCACATGCGGAACCTGGCGCGCAAGAACTGCCAGACCGAGTACGTGTTCCTCACGGACGTCGACATAGTGCCGAGCTTCAATCTCACGCTCGCGCTCGACGACTTTCTCAGGAGCGACAACTGTGATAAGTGCGCCTACGTTATACCCACGTACGAGCTGGACACGCGCGTGCGCTTCCCCCAGAACAAGAGCGAGCTGGTCAGGCTAGCGAGGAAGGGCCTGGCCAGGCCTTTCCACCAGAAAGTTTTCATACATAATCAGTTCGCCACCAACTTCACCAGGCAAGTGCTCTCTCGCTTCACCGCTCTCGTCGCGGCTATTAATTTCTCGCCGATTTACCCTCCCCCCGCCTTACCCCTACCCCCTACCGCGAACATCGACCTCCGCGCTTTTTTAGGTAGGGTTTAGTAGGGTGAAATTAATTAACGTTAATACAGTACTTACATAATAAAAGATACATATATAAACGCGACCGACCGACCGACCGATCGACCGACGTTGGTCGCATACACGTGTAATTAAAATTATTGATTGGGGAACAGCGTGACGACGTGAGGCCATAATGGTTTTCCTATAACAAGCTAACATTATTTATCTGACTTTAATAATAACCGTTTGATAATTTTGCCGTTATTCAGTGGTTATTGGACGTAATTTGTAGCGCGGCTTCGCGCACACAGAGCGTGTGAATTGTTGACCGATTGTGCGAAATATTATTCGCGGACGACGCGACGCGCGGCGGCGGGGCGCGGTGGGGCGGGGCGGGGCGGGGTCGGCTGGCGCACTTGAGAATTTTTTGTTTCGCAGATGGCTGCAGGACGCGTTGCCGAACCATAAATATCACGAGAACCTGAAGACCGGCAAGGTCTACGTTAGTCACGACGTGACGAATTTCGAATTCCTCTACGAGCCGTTCTACGTGGCGAAGGACATCGTGCCGTCGCACGACGAGAGGTTCATGGGATACGGATATACGAGGAACACCCAGGTACGCGATATTTCTAAGATGTGCTTCTTGCTCTCTCCTCTCTTTCTCCCTTCCGTCCCTTCCTCTTTCCCACTTCCTCCTCCTCCTCCTCCTCTTCCTCGAAGTTTTTTTTATTTTTACTGAAGAATACGCAAGAGATGCCGCTGAGTGCTGAGGCTCATACCTCAGCCGCCCACGCGGGTCGAGTGGCGTGCCACCCGTGGCGGCGCTGAAACAATTCGCAAGGCGCAATTTAGGACGCGGCGCGCGAGATAACGCGGAGCGCGCTACAATGCGCGAAAATTTATGCTCGCTCCTGCCGGGTCGATCGACGGTAAATGAACGTTAATGCTTGAAAATACTCGTATCTGCGAAGATAAACGCCCAGCGTGCGCACACACGATACGCTCGCGGGGCGGACGGAGGGGCGGAGGGGAGGGGAGGGGAGGGGGGCCCTTATTTGCGAAACGCACCGAATCAGTTTGCAGCGCGATATCGCGGAACAGCTCGAATTATAAAGCAAGCCTGCGGCAATCATCCCCCGCTCTCCCTCCCCTCCCCCCCCCTCTCCGCCGTCGTCACGGATATTGCCGATGAAAAAGTACCGTTACGCGCGAATGATAAAAAAGAGTACACACGAGTGCCGGATCGTGTACGCGAACGCGCGATAATAATTACACGCGCGCGAGATAGCGTCTGATTTCGCCGCGGCCAGCGACCGCGCGGCGGTTTATCGCAACGTCAGGAGAGTAAAAGATATATCCCATCGAAAATTAATATCTTTCCGGAGCGGAGAGAGGGTAGGAGAGGAAGGGAGGGGGTATTAATGGAATTAATGGAATTAGCGCGGATAAATGGCAATAATGGAACGCCGGCCGGCCGGCCATTACGTCGTATTTCTACGCTCCTCTGTAAATAGGCGGCATAAATTACACTAAAAGATATATATTTTGGGATATTAACGGTAAAAGCGGGGCATACGTGTACGCGCATATCTCCGCGTTTCGTCAGCCGCGTGATGCGCTTCGAATTACGCGCACATAGTCGGCTGCTAATCCGACGCGACGCGACAGGCCGTGTCGCGCGGAAAAGTGCACGTATGTAGCGCGGCGGTCGTAAAGTTCTGTGCGCGATTAAGCGCGCGTGTTGGCCCGCGGTCCGCGGTGTGAGTCGAGGGAAATAACGAGGGAACGGGCGAGAGAGAGAGAGAGAGAGAGAGGGTGAGGGAGGAAAGGGATGGTAGTAGTTTGATAGTAGCAAACTGGAATGAACGCGCGCGCGCAGCCGAGATATTAATTGAATTACATATTATCATCGCTGCGCCCGTTATCGGGCGATGGAGGCTCATTTTGCGGAACGGGCATTATTCAATTTAAACTTGATACATCTCATGGCCGTGTGGTAATCGAACGTTTGCGTATCGGCTTCGCCTCGTCGCGAGTAGTCGCAAATTGCGCCCGTTAATGCACTTACTTTTCGGGCCCGCCGCCGCCGCATTCTCGCGCGTAATCGCGAGGACTCGACGGCGCAATCTCCCGTCGTCGAGGAGCGACAATATCAAACTTCGGGGACTAGGTCGGCCGGCTTCGCGGCGAGCGTTGCGGGGCTAATACCGCGGATAATCGGCGTCTACGAGCTTTCCGGCTGGAGAGACTGAATTAACTAAACGACGTTGCGCGCATCGATCTTCCCGTCCGGGCGCGCTGCAGCGATCTTCCCCCTCGAACGAGCGAGAGGAGCCCTCGCGAGACGAGAAGAAGAACAGTCGAAGTGTCGCGGGTGGTCCCCGAAAGGTTATTGCGCCGAGAAGCGCGGAACAACCTTTTACGGCCGCGGTTCCACCTACCCGAGCAAAACGTTGTTAGGACCATCCTCATGAAGCATAAGGCCCCGATAAAGCTGAAAGTAGGATGCTCTGAAAAGGGATGTTTTATTATTACCATCAGGCCCCGATATGGATCCTTTTTAGGGATGCCTTAGATTTTACGAAATAACGCTTTAACGAAAAATAACGCTTTAATGAAAAATTGATGTGGGCCTTGGAAGGATCTTTTAAGAGAAGATGTTTTAAATGTATAAAATCAAGTTTTGTCATAGAAAATTAATAAGATCTGAAGTGTGTGATAAAAAGCGTGTCATAGTTTAGTATTGTTTTGGTAGATACGCTCTATCGGGTTCTTTTAAAGATCTTTTAATTATACCGCAATTAACAACAAATTTTATTAGTTTTATTAGTTGCCATATTCTTTAGTTTCTTCCAAGAATTTTTCTAGTATTGCCTTCGTTTTGAAATGCAGCAAACTTTAATAAAAACAGCAGGGATTTTATATGTAAGGAATGTTATATTTTATTGTAAAGTAAAAATGCTATATTTTTAAAATAAAAAATTCTTGTTATATACCAACAAGGTTTCAAAGAAATAAAGAAATTACTAAATTTTTTGGAATGAAAAGAACGAATTTTTTTACTCAAGTGATAATAAAAATATTTCCTTATAAGGCCCTGTTAATATTGCCTTATAAGGCCCTGTTGATATCGCCTTGTAAGGCCCTCATAAAATTGCCTCGTAAGGATCCGTTAAACCATTTGTTACACATCTTGCAGGGCCTTTGTCTTTCCATCCCTACTAGGGCCCAATTAATGTTCGGAAAAAATAATCAGGCCCTTACCAGGGCCCTATTAATTTTTCTACTCGGGTACGAAGTTCACATATCTCCGTCCCACGCAAAGCCCGTTGTTCGCGGGCTGGCACGCGGCTGGTTGTTTCGGCACGATGACGGCTACGACGACGACGACGACGACGACGACGACGACGACGACAACGATGCTACCTGTTTTCGGAGCCACCGGCGGAAATAACGAAATTCCATCGCGCGGCGAAAATCCGAGCGCGGCGACCGCGCGCGCGCGTCGCATTCGTAAAACGAAGTATGCCGCGCCGGCGACAATAAAACCGACGTAAATCTACGTACCGCGGCCGCGTCGTCGGCGTAAACACTCGCGTGTATCGTACCCTCGCGATGATGTTGGCGGCGGCGGTGGTGGTGGTGGTGTGATGCGACCGGTGCGACATGCTATCCGGCGAATACCGGAAGTACGTACACGTACATTGGTATTCGCGTCTCCTCTGCGCTACGTGTCGCGCAACAGCCATTCACCCCCGCCGGAGAAATGAGAATGGGTATCATCCCCTTTGCCCTCCTGCCGCCTCAGCGATACGCCCGACCGCCCGAATTACATCCCCCTTCGTGTGAGAGTCGTGGATCCGCCACCACCACCCTTTGCCCTCTCACCCTCCCTCCCTCCCTCCCTCTCTCTCCCTCTCTCTTCGGCAAAATTCTCTCGATTCTCCGCCTTGCCGCTCTCAACGTCTTTCTTATTTCCCTTTGCCGGGCTCGTTTCGCGAAGTCATGGCGGACTAGGCTCTCGAGTAAATGTTCCAATGGCGATGATTTTCTCACCTACCTACGACGGCGTCCGTCGCCGATTCGATTGCGGGAGCTCGGCTGAAATTTGATGCCTTTCTCGTTACACACGGCGACTGCAGGCGCGTTCCTCGGCCGCACGAGGACGCACCCGCTCCCTCCTCCCCGCCGTCGGATCGTTTTTATTTCGCGTTAATTAATCCTCGCTTGTTTGCGCGTACAATGCGCGAGGACAATGCGGTATACGCCATAATCGCGATGCAATTACGCCGGTTTCCCGCTCGCCTCGATTGCCCGCCAAAATGAGCATGTTAATTGCCGATCGATTCGTTAATTCTCGCGCCGACCGGCGTAGCCTTTGTCCGACCGCGAGAGCGCGGGCTTAACGTCCCCCGGTACAACCTTCAATTATCCGACCGACGCACGGGGGTGATCGCCGTGCGGCCAATATACAGGGTTCGCCCCGCCGCCGCGCCGACGAGACGAAGCGCGCGCACGGCACGCGCTGCCGTCGCCGCTCGAGCGAGCGATTCGTATCTGCACCGGCGATCGATTCTGTCATCGCCGATTCGACACGCCACGCGGGCGGACCTCGAGGGATTCTTTATTGTCGTGTTTATCGAGTCGGTCGATCGCGCTGGCACGGACCGCCCCGGCTTGATATCTCATCAGACCGGCGTTATCGAATTGATTCCGTCCGCCAGCGTCGGAATACTCGACGTGATAAGCCGGGTAAGTCTGGCCGCGCGCGCGGAGGGAGACTCGTCAAAGCGCGGGCGGCATGAAGCGGCGAGGAAAAAAAAAATAATCGTCGGTGATGGATGAATATTATGTGTAGGATTTCCGGGAGAAATATCGATCCCGGCCTCGTCGATTCGATTTCAAGTCAGGTTTCATCGTCGCGTTTGGGTCGCGCGAAAAATCCGCAAGTTTCGTCCAGTCGCGACCGTCAGTGGCCCGTCGGAGTGAGCAATTTCCGGGGAGAAGAGACGACGAGACGTCAGCGCTACTTGTCGCGCGGAGGAAACGTGTCCTCGGAGTTGATTTTTCACCGAGGGAGCGCGAGTGTGCCGATTTAGGGCTTCTGAACGGCTGAACGGCGCTAACGTTGACCTGGCTCTGGTCAGGTGTGAGACACACTTGGCTCGCGTCGCGCGGCAACGCCGACGTCGTTTCCAATCCGACGCTTCGTCTCTTGCCGATCCATTATCCATTATCGTCCCCGGGGCTGATCCATAATGGCGATACGCTCGGCTAGAGGGCCGCGTTGTCGCGATACAAGTGGCACCGAAGTGGCGCGCACGCGAGCCACCTCGCGGCTTCGCCGCGATCAAACGCCGACGAGATAGTCCGTTCTAAGCGCTTTAACGTTGCAGTCATTCCGTCCGTGGTGATTAAGCGATTTCGGACTCGTAAATCAAAGGCGAGCCGGTACGAAGCGGAGGCTCTTTGCCTCCGCAGATGACTAGCGGCCGGCCGTTCTCTCGCGGCCGCAACTCGCGGAGGTGAACGGCGACGCGACACGTCGCGTTCACGATTTCCTACTGCAAGCTCGTGATTTCGTGTCTCGAACTTCCAATCGGCCGCGATTTCGTA